AAATACAAGAGTAATGCGAAGACTGTTGTCTTGCCTGTAGGCCAGACAGACAAACAAACAAACGGGCAGATATGACTACATACATTCATAAATGCATCCATAAATACATATACACAAATACACATACATGTATACATGACTTAGATACGGACATACGGACATATGCGATTACATGCATACATAAATACATGCACACATGACAGACAAGCAGGCAAGTAGGTGTCGATTGTACACTCGGCATAGCGCAGTCTCCACACCATTGTTGCCCGGCAGCACAGAAGCAGAGCCCTCCTGAAGCCATCTAGTTCGTGCCGACCGGTTGCTAAGGCCTGTGAAGCCGTATTGTTGGATGTCCGCGAGTGTCTTGTGAGGCTCATCCTCATCCTCATCCCTTGTCCGTTGAGGCCGCGTCGGCCGAGTCTGCTGTGGCCGGCCCCGGCATGGCCCAGGCTCGGCCGCCTCGCCAGCCCTTAACGGTGCCTCTGACTCGATTCCCGCACACTTTCTCGTTCCCTCGTCTCCAACCTGTTTGCCCATCTGCCATTGTCTAGGCGGCAGCTGGCCAGCCGGCTCCGGCTCCGGCTCCGGTTCCGGCTCCGGTTCCGGTGGGTTCGCATCGTCGAGGCGAGAAGAGGGTCCGCCGGACGGGAGCCCATCGACGCGGGCGCCGGCCTCCGGCGACTCGACGGACTCGACTCCGGCCACGCTGCCCAAAAGCCAGTTGAGCCGAACTCAGACAACCTCGGCCGGCGAGTCGCCGTCACCGTCACCGTCGCCGTCGCCGCCGCCGTCACCGTCGCCCACTTTTCCCTCCGACTGCCTCTTGGGCGGCAGAGGCGACCGGCGATTCGGTTGGTGCACGGCCTGCATGGCCTCGTGTTGCATGCAGGGCTGGTGGGCGCTTGTGCGGCTCGTCATCGCCATTCGTGCTCTCATCGTGCGGGTCGTCTTCTTGATCTTCACCTGCGCCGCCATCACCGTCGTTCTGAGGGTCAAGGAGGACACTCGATTCTGGTTCTTGGGCCTGACCACGCTTCCGCTGCTCTGCGACCTCGCCTGGTCAACAAAGATTACCTGCGAGCACAAGACAAGTGGAAAATCTATCAACAAATGGTGAGTACTGCTCTTTCCGACAAAACATGCTCCAACGGCCATCTGCGCTGAAGACTACATTCACCCTATTTCGTGTAAAGTGATGAAGCAGTGACCACGAAACTCTCCCACAATCAGATGACTGGGCCTCACGATGCCTTGCTTCCTAAAAAGTATTTTGGGCCAGACTGGACTGAACTAATCAGGCCTCTTGGCGGGACTCGAATCCAGGTAGTACAGTGTAGACACTTGATCTCAGACTATTGTGCCAGACGTCCACAAGGGCCCTTTGGTTACAGGGCAGATGTGAAGTTCAAAGAAGTCCATGCCTTCCCAACATCAATTTTTTGCGAGGTTAGCTTCTCAATGAAGCAAAGTTGTATTTGCTATCACAATCGACGACATTTATTATTTTCCGTTTATGAGTTGGTTGTCAAGACTGCTACCAGATCATATATAAGAGACGCATTCAATCCAATTCTATTTCTCGACAATCACACCACAGAATAGGATATGGAAAGATGCCTGGCCTTCCGTGAAATTCATATCTACTCAGTGACCCAAGGGCACTCTGGGAAATATGATGTAGTACCTTCATGGTTCGAGTCCCGCTGGGCGACGTCGAAACTACCGTCCACTCCTGCCTGGACGAGAATACCTTTTGGAATGCACGGCGTGTGAAATTCAATAGAACCGTAGGGTCTGCTCATACCGTCGTGGGAAAATTTAATTGCCAGTGAAGATACCTACTAGACTACATATTTTCGTTTGTTGACGTAGTTTGCAGGACCACCCTTAGATCTTGTCTACCTTTATTGGCCATATCTCGGGATCATATCCCACTAGTGGTGCAGATGAGACTCTGGCGAGGCCGAAATTGCAGTCGTTTGTAGTTCAGATGAGAATATATTTTGGGGGGAATTTCATTTCTTATGCAAGTGCATGAAGAAGAGATCTGAAGGTCGATCTCAGGCGTAAACGACGGCCGATTTTTCGTTCTATAGCGGCTTTAACTCGGCATTAAAGTTGATTTAGTCCACAGGACATCCTACCTTGTTTTAGATGAAAACGAGCTAAACTTTCGTCGATCATATGCTAAACATCATCAAAGCTGGAGCTATTTACTTTGAAAGTCTCAGTGTTAACATGAGGGGTTCACTTTTCCTGTTACCTTGCGTCGCTTGGTACTAGGACTGGCAAGGCTGGCAGATGATGTCGACTACGAGGGCGGTGACACTTTTGGGCATACACAAATTTCAAGGTTAGATGCAGAAAAGTGTAATGACTAATATGACAGAGGAGGCCCGACAAGGTGCTTAATTCGAGGTCGCCCTGACAACGAGACCAATTATACAATTATTACAACCAAAGCATAATGCAAGTGATAAATCAGCTAACCGAAGATAAAGTTAAAGTTCTAAATATTTGGTTGTATCACTCGCAGAACGGTTAAGATTACC